AGTTACACCGAGGGATCCTGTCACGTGCTCTGAGTGCTTGTGTAGAGCAGACTAAGTACTGTGAAAGAACCATTCAGCACTGACTCTGTGTGGCACAGCTGTTGAAGAACACTATGTGGAAGCACTGCTGACTCACACAATAGGACTGAATATTCCCAGCTTATATTCCATGTGTGGTTCTCATAGGAAGTAAACAAGCTGCCTTCTGAGTGTTTCGAATGATGTTTCACATTTTGTTCATAGTTATTTGAAAAAATTATAATAACTTCACATCAGTTTCAAGGATTTCAGGAATGTTTCAGTTAAATATGCAGCAGAGTTTGTATATTTGGCAAATTACTGCATATCCTCTGTTTCCATTAGCTGTTAACATACAGACTTATGATAGTATTTAAATATAAATCACTGCATCACATTTAAAACCGTCTGCATGCAGCTATTCTGTCAAAACTGTGTAAAGCTTCACATAAGTGTAATGCACTATTAGAAATGTTACTTATGCACCAGCATTAGATCTCAAACACTGTAAAATCTTGTTTAACCTGTGGTATGCAAGAAATAGACAACACTGTCAGTATTTCACTGGAATCTGCTCGAGTCTTCAGACTGAAGCACTTTGCAGATAAACTCACTCGATATTATTTTGTATTAACCTGCCTCAGAGGTGCTGGAGTCAGTGCAGGACTGGTAACACTGTGCCATCAGGGAGGTGGTGTTACACCTGTCTGCACACTAATCTATGAGTGAAGGGCTCAGTAGTGCCCCACTCAACAACATCACACCAGCCAGAGCACACACAAAGCTGCAGCAATGCAAATGTAGAGGCCATTACGAGTCGCACTGCTTTGCCATAGAGCGTAAAAATAAGCTGACACCAAAGATGAAAGTTGTGTTACTCGTAGTTAGATGCATGATCCCTGCAAGAAAGCTGCTGCACGCACAAACTGTCCCAAAGGCGGTCTTGATATTTAGATGCATTACAACTTTGCAAAAAAACACAAAAATAGTTAGTACTCATGTAAAAATGGCGTCTGGTGTCATCCCAGTGCCACAGTCTCTTGTTAAAGATGCACTTAAAATGCTAAAGTACTTTGCATGACAACAAAATACTGTAATAATTACAATATTGCAATATACTGCAATATTACACATGAGAAGCTTGGGTTGAACCACAACAGTCTCAGCCGTTAATGTGATTTGGTGCTTTATAACTAAAATGAAAAGGTCTGGAGAGTTTTGTGATCACGTCTTTCATCATTTTGGTCCTTCGCCTCGACGAGTTGTGTCCACAGGCAGACGCATGAACATCTGTGTCTGTGTTTGTTTCTCTACAGATGTGTACCTGTGGTGAGAGGCATCTGTCAGGCTAGGAGAGCTGAGCTCTGGATGGTGTTTCTGGTTCTGGTACAGGAAGGGTGTGGCCAGAGTGCATGAGTGTAGCCAGGTGCTCTTCAGACTGCAGCTTTTCACATGTTCACCTCCTGCTGTTCAAAGCCCAGAGCTTCAAATCCCTCCTGCAGGCATCTTTGTGTCGTGGTTGGGATCTGGTTGGGGTCATACATTTTCACTACATGGCCAACGTGTGCATTTCTATTTCACCAGGTGTGCATGGCAGGGACTGCTGCTCTTTCCAGGATGGTGTTCTCTGCATTTCATCACACAAAGCTTATTGCAGTGTCTCTGTCACCAATGTTTTTGTACGGTGTGACTCTGCTTCTCTCTAGCATTTCTTCAGGACTTCATGCTGCTTGGTAACGAGGGTTCCTGTGCAGCGCTTCATCCAGGCTGGTGCACTGTTGAGCTTCTCCAAAACAGCAGATACTCAGGGCTATTCAGCGCATGTTCAGTGACAATATTCTCTCTGGCACGCGGCTCAGAGTGGTGTTCACCTCAGCCCTCCATCTATTGTCTCTGATCCTGATTTTCTCACCGTTGATAGATTTTCCTCTGTGGTGGAGGATGGGCGAAGAGCTGACTCATTTGAAAAGAGCTGAGTAAAGCTTCTGCACCTGCATACACTCAGAAGGAGCCAGCTGAGGCGCTGTGGGCATTCAAAAAGGCTCCAGACAACATCTATGTAAAGTGTTTTGGGTGTCCAACCTGAAGACCTGAAGGCAGACCCAGGACACACTACAGACATCATGTGTCTCTGCTGGGTTGCAAATGCTCGTGTTCCCCAGAAGAAGAGCTGGAGGAGGTGGTCTGGGCATCTCTGATGACCTCTGATGACCTCTGATGACCTGGGCCAATAAGTGAAAGAAACTGGATCGGATAGTACTATCATTACTATTGCCGCCATCTTCCCCTCACTTTGCCCATCCTTGTCTCAACAGTGATACTGAACAATGACATTAATCTCTCAGTTTCTGCCCCCCCCCGACCTGTGTCCCTGTGGCTGCTGGCGACACTAGTATTGATGTAAGTGCTGTTTTCTCTCATTAATTTATCAGCTCAGTAGAGGAGGGGGGCCTCCGCAGGGCGAGATAATGGCTTCCATTTGGCCAAGGTCAACAGTCAACACATTCCTCAGTCGTTCAAATATAACCACACATTAACTTGTGTCACCAATACCACACACACACACAGAGAGACACAGCTAATAGACTGTCAGTGAGCTGTCCTGCTGCCTATGACTGTTTCATCCTGTTAAAGAGGTGATATAAAGTCCCACATCTGAGAAACAGCCAAATATCAGCGTGGTTACCTTCAGACAGCAAAGCTCACCTCATCAGTATCCTTCCTGTCTGTGCATCGCTCGTGATGTTTGAGTCTGAGAGTTGTTTCCAAATGTTTTATGATCATGATCAGGTCACAGTAACGTTCTGTTGGTGCTACTGCTTAGCTGCAAATGATTCAAATTATAACTATCATCACAGTCACCGGATCTTATTATTCTGCATAACTTGTTAGGACAAAAACAAGCAGTGTGTGTGTGTGTGTGTGTGTGTGTGTGTGTGTGTGTGTGTGTGTGTGTGTGTGTGTGTGTGTATTGGCCAGATCAGATGGGCACTTTGGAATCAGTCAGCTATCTTCTGAACATTTCACCCACCAACTGTTTGTGCTATTTGTCCAAATGTTGACTTTACCTGCACAATTTGTGAACCATTACACAATACAGGAGCTGAGATCAATCAGTGTGCTCTGGGTTTGAGTATAGTCTTGTACGGTGAGGCCGTTGAACCTCAGCAATGGTAATGCAGCTCGAGTATGGCTACAAGAGCAATGACCTCTCCCTCCAAATATCGCACAGGGTTAAGAAAAAAGTTACATTTCCCAGAACACGTTTTCATTTCAATTCCCGATTGGTGTTAAGTAATCTATTATATGAACTACTGTGAACGTATTGTAAGACTATCAATCCAGCCTTGCTGCTATCTCTCTGCTGTCCCCGCGCTTCTGAGGGTTCACTCAATCATTAACCTAATCTGCTCACTGAAAAAGTCCCACTCATGCTGTTTGCATGAGTTTGACGATAAGCTATTTGAAGTTGAATGTGGTGATGGGACAACAATTGACAAGGACTAAACTGTTTGATAATCTTTGGCTGCTTTTGATTCCTCAGAGATTCTGAAACTGGAAACGGCAGAATGAAGAGCAGCGAATCGCTTTTTAGCTTCCAAATCAAACATTTGTATTTGCTTGAAAAATTCTAATTAAAAGCTGCTTTGTTGGCGCCGCCTCACAAATCTCAGCTGAAAGTGCTGACACAGTTTACACATCATGAAATAAAAACTATGACTAATCTAGAATCTTCTATAAAGTCCAACAACTGGTCCCAGATCTCCCCAGAGGCCCACAAGTGTTAAACACAGGCCTGATAGTTTTAAACTTTCACATTTGTTTTCTGTTTCTTTAAATGAACGATGGTTTCAGGGTTTTTGCAGATTTTGTTTATTTTCTCTTGCTCTCTATTTTGAAAACCACACAGAGCAGTGTGACTGTAATTCAGCTTAATGCAGCAGGGAGTCCTAATGTACCTCCTCACATTCACTACTGATAGTAAAGGCAGTTATCATTCATTATCCCTGAGTGATTACACACTCTGATGATCCTCCACAAGTTTGCAGCTCTTCCTTTTTAGCTCAGCTGTTCTTCAGTGTTTTTGTCCCTGACGCTCAATGTTTTATAAAGCCACACGTCTGGATGCATTTTACATATAATAACACATTCAAAATTTAAATTCTGATTTTCCATGAATGTAACAGCAACATTAAACCAATATTAATAAAATATTACTGAAGGCGGCTCCTTTTATTCAAGTCAGATTTGAAATGCGCTATTTTTATATTTATGGTGTTGTGTTGGTACATTCATCTACAGTCTGCTTCTCTTCTGTTTTAAACGCCACTGATTTCCACACTGTAGTAAAAGAATTAGAGGCTATAACCAGCACAGCCACACATCTAACACATCGTAATGTCCTGTAATGTGGCTGCTGCTGTTTTATGAGATAAACCTTTAACCAATCAGAAACGAAAATGTGAAAATAAACAAACAAAAGGAGAAAAGTCTCAGATCTGCAGGTACACAAAAAACTACCGCGTTGGATATAAACATGTGCAAAATATATATTCAGGCTTAATGTGTAACAGACACAATATGACGTGTGTATGAAGTTTGTTCTACCATTCTGCACTACAGCTCAGCGTTTAGACACGACGTGTCGCACTTTTACTCGCACTGATTCTTTGTTAAATGTACTTCTGTTAAACGTCCGAATAATGAGTGAGTTTGAACCTGACCAGAGCGCGTCGGTTCTTGTTGTTTTGGGTTTTCTGTGATTATTTGGACTGATTATAATTCTTCCTGCTTCTTGGCGGATCTTTCACGCGTTGCTGGATGTGCGAGAAATGCTTCATTTACAGTTTCATTTTCAGACAGCAGAGAAAAGAGTTCACAGACCAGCTGAGCTGCATCGAAACGTTTGGATTGATTGTCAGAAAATAGTTTATTAGACATCAAACAAAACTGAATTTGCGCTACATTGATTATTTAATAAAATGTCACATAAAAAACACACGCCGACACACACACACGCAAAACAAAACAAAAAGAACTAAAAAACACGCTATAAAAACACGTATATGCTACAGTACAGAGAAACTGATCTACAGGCATACTATTCATCTGAAGAACATCTCTCTCTCTCACACACACACACACACACACACACACACACACACACACACACACACACACACACAAAATTACGCATATGTACACAGGTTCAACAAAGAAGACAGTTCTGATGAAAGGCACTCGGGTTTGAGGGGCTGACTTGTCTTAGTATTACATCCGGAACCAGTCTATCAATCTGCAAGTCACCAGGCTGGAGGAGGAGGAGGAGGAGGAGGAAGGAGTTACAGCGACGCATGAGAGCTTCAGTGTCTGAGGCAGATCTTTATGGAGCCTGTGTTTCAGAACTGGGGGTTTAGTGTGAAGTCCTCGTCGTCCTCTATGTCCAGTTCTTGGTCTGTGTCGTCTGACACGTCAGAGTCCAGCTCTGTGTGGGCCTGCTGTCGGGACACACAGTGTCCCGCTTGCGCCAACTCGGGGGCCGAGCCTGGCTGCCTCTGCTCCTGGTTCTGGATTCCGGCAGCCTCTATCATCTCATCTCCTTTCTTACCTCTGGAACTGTTATCCTCCACCTCCCTCTTAGGATTCTCCTGGTGAAAGCGAACCCCGTGGATTAGGAGACGGTACGAGTGTATTGTATATGAAGGAGTGAAAGGAAGGTAGGGCGACATCAGTCACCGCTGCTCACCTGCTTTAGTCTTCGCCACTTCGCACGTCGATTTTGGAACCAGGTTTTAACCTGAAAGGAAATGTTCAAAAAAGAAAGAAATGAATGATCTTCCTTCTTTAAATATTAAAACTCTGAAAGGATGTTTCTTATGCGCAAACTCGTCCGTAAGATTTCTGGCGTCAATTAAAAATTCGGTTTGTCCGCTGTTCACGTGGAAGCGGTTTAAATTCATTTTGGATCAAAGCCACATTGAATCAAATCAGCACGCAGCACAAATATCACACACACACACACACACACACACACACACACACACACACACACACACACACACACACACACACACACCCATCGGTAATTCGCTACAAATTCCAACCATTCGCAGCCAGTAAATAGCTTTCTAGTAATAAAGTAGCAAAATCTAGTGTTATGCTACATTTCAAAAACGGAATAAATAAATGTATAAAAGTGTTTCATCGAAAATTGCGGCCGATCCTCCGGAGATCCTTCCAAACAGCTGCAGGCCATTACGGCACATGTGTGTGAGCCAGACCGGGCTCCGCTCACCTGTCTCTCGCTGAGCTGCAGCATCTTGGCCAGGCGTTTCCTCTCCGGAGGTGACAGGTACTTCTGCGTCTCAAACTTCTTCTCCAGCTCGATGGTCTGGTCGTTGGAGAAGCGCACCTGGCCGCCTTTTCTCTTATGTAAGGGCCGCTGGATGAACGGCGTCCACAGCAGAGGCTTCCCTGTGGAGAGATCCCACAGAATGCACCGTGTTTGAAATACATGAAATAAAACGAAATATTTATTTCTGGCTGTGACAAACCTGCCCGCTGTCGAAAAAGAAGCTACAGCATATAAACCTTCCTGCTGCCATCTGACATGAAACGAATTAACAAAACACGCTAGTACGCGACAGAAACACGGTACATTTGTACTGTGTTATATTAGGCCCACTGACGGCATTTTCACTCACATTCACGCGTTTGAACTCTTGCGATAAGTGAATTTTATCCACATGAAAATATAAGACAACACATTTCAAACATTTTCATTAAAAGCTCCGGAGCTGACGGTACAGCCTATACGCAGACATGCGCAGTGCAGAGACATCGAAAAATCGAACTATTCGGTCACAGAGAGAAGACGTGTTTTAGACTCTGTGGCCTCTCCCGGTCACCAGACAGCTGCGGACTCCAATGTGGAAAAGTTTGAGAGTTTATTATTTTTCAGGATTAATTATTGGATAACTATTATTTGGATTTATGTATTTATTTATTTATTTATTTTTTTATTATTATTATTATTATTATTATTATTATCATCATCATCATCATCATCATCATCATCATTATTAATAATAATAATAATAATTATTATTATTACTATTATTGTTATTATTATTATTATTACTACTATTATTAATAATAATAATAATAATAATAATAATAATAATAATAATAATAATTATTATTATTATTATTGTTGTTATTATTATTATTATTACTACTATTACTATTATTATTATTATTATTATTATTATTATGTAACAGATGTAAAACTGTAATGAAGAATTTCTGATGGACAGGGCATAAACAGGAAGAAAAAGTGGAGACTATTAGTTACTAAATAGTGGGAAATGTGCGGGATTAAATAAGCTTGCGCTTCTTTCTACTGCATTGTGAAATAAATGTAAGTTATTTATAATTATTATTGTTTTGTTTGTCTCTTTTTTCTCTGTTGTTGTTATAATATTTTAACATGTTCAAAATAAAGATTTCATACAAATACAAATGATTATTATTATGATTATTATGATGTTTTACGTGTTTGTTGTTTTACACCGGTGCTGATTTTAATGAGGTTCAAAATCTCCAAAAGTCTCGATGTGCTTTTCAAAGTTTATACCCTAAAACTCGATTAGAAATGAACATAATTCCTAATTTACTGCGGATTAATGAGGGGAAAGGATCGGTGCTGTTGAAGAGATTTATTGGAGCGAAAGGCCGCTGGGTGCAATCAGAGGTGCTTTTGTCCTGTCTGCTTTCCTCCCCGGGTGATGGCCGGGAACAAACAACGGCAGCCTGCAGCCTGCTGCGAGCTGTCTTTTCAGGAAGGTCGTGACAGTGAAAACTATGGCCAAATATCCGCTTCATGTGCTTCCTGCTTTGCGGTGTGATTATAGGCAATGGCATCCACCAACAGACACTCCTGTGCTCAGCTCTGACACAATATGAATGTTTGTGGTCGAAACTGCTGTCAAAGACCTTCTTATTGCTGCGCTTTTCCTAAGGAAGTTAGCCAATCCAGCCCCAAGAGACACTGAGCGAAAATACAAGTAGCCTACAGGAAAGGTTGAGTAAAAATCAATTTGCGGCGAAAATGAAGGAAATGACATCAAATGAAACATTTTCACTGAATATGTGAGAAGTTTGTGTTCGTGCCGTTTACGCTCGGCTAATAAAGATCTGTGAAACTGGAATGATAAGCGCTAACTCGTTATAATTGTGGTAATTAAGCACGCGCACTTCTGTTTGAAATATTTCGCACTCACAGTTTTTGTTGGCTTTGTGTTACTTTGTAACTTTCTGCCGTTTGCGCGCGCAGACAGTCTCATCAAACCAGAGTATTAACGTGATCGCTGTAAATAGATGCACAGATGTGGCGGTTGGGATAGCTCGTTAATAACAGTTTCATAAAACTGTGAGTGACGGAGATCGGAACATAAGCGGGCCTGAAAGCGCGCACTGCAGGCTGCTTAAAATAGCCAGAGGAGGTGTGCGCGGTATTTATAGAGCACAGCTTCTTTAATCCGCTGTTCGACAAGACATATCATACGAGATGATTACAGATGATTGTAGGCGCTGAAACCAATCATTGTTCTCCTCGGGCAATCTCAGTTCGTGCTTGTTTGTCGTCTGTCTGAAAGGTCAGCTCAGTTGGGAGGACACGACTGTAGCTGCTGTTAGGAGGACTTTATCTTTCTCATAAGTCCCCATTAGCTCTCTGTTTGCCTTATTTTCTTCTCGCCGCCAACCATAAAGAAAGTCAGCCACATCCTCGCGAGCCCGGCAGAGGAAGTGCAACAATATGTGAAAAACGGATCCCGGGCTATCAGAGGCCGAGTGTTTCCTGAATATGTCTGTATTGAGGATGTCGATAAAATAATCAGCAGCGTGCAGCGGGCTCCCGAGGAAGCGGCTGGCCGGGGTGAGACAGGAAAACATTTAACAGCTTCTGAAACCAGATTTACTCCTATCGACAGGCTCACAGTTTCCGCTATGAACGGAAAAAGGCCCGGCTTGTTCAGCAGCACACAGTCAGACGGTCCGCTTGTCACACTATACTTAAGAGGACCATCACTTCTGGCCTCTAACACGGCGCGCAGCGTGTGTGATGGCTTCAAGCACCCCGGGAACATCATGTAAAGCAGCTTTCACGGCTCCATACTCACACAGCCGATTTCACTAATACTGCTAATAATTATTATCATAATAATAATAATAATAAAAGACTTGTGGTAAGCTCATGGTCAGTCAATACCCTAGAGAAAAATAACCCAACTACTTGGTGCTCAAAAGTATATGACGCACACACACACACACGCACAGCAGTGAAATAACAAGTGATTTAGGGCCTGGCTATGTTTTAGTCACTGGCTGACTCGGTCCTCTGATGTTTCAGAACAATGGGAGTCAGGAAAACGAGTCAAGGTTGCCATGCACCTCCCTATCACCACCAGCAGCAGCACACTGAATGGATATGCCTGCTGCTATTGTGGCCCCAAATACGTCTGTCACAATAACAATGTGACTCATGTGTGCGTGGTCGCGCATCGTGCACAAATGTTCTTGTGAGACCAAAATGAGCTGAAGGCTTCGCGAAGACGCACAAAGTGTGTCCTCGACTCTAAAGTGTGTTTAAGAGGAGCAGTGCAAGTGTAGATGATCTTGAGTTCGACATGCATGACCAAGCGTGATGCTTATGCAAAAATGGTTTCGCTGGGACTGAAACGAAGCTTGTGAAGACATTAAAGTTTTCATGCAAAGAGCAGAAAGTTGTCTTACTGCCACATCATCCAAGTGTATATGTTGCCGCGAACAGATTTCAGGTTCACCTAAGTTGTCACTGAGCGATATAATGTCCAATAATATATGATTTATTCATTTTACAATGCAAATTGTGAATATATGACCTTAACTATTTTAAGGGTCCTGATTTCCAGTGAAATAAAACCAGCAGTGCAGACTTGAGGAACTGAGTTTAACTGGCGCATTTCCACACAGGAAAACAAGAAACGTGATGCTGGCTGTCTGACGGCAAGGCAGCAGAAAAGGAGAAAATGGATATGTTTGCTAACAAATGATAAGACCAATATCAATGATGGAAATGAAATGGAACTCACCGAGAGGGTCGTGCCTGAGCAGCGCCTGTGCGTACTCCCCCATGGAGCGGTGGTGTTGCTGGTGAAACGGGTAAAAGGAGCCGGTGAAAGCCCCCGCCGAGGCGTACGTCGCCGTCAGCGCAGCGTGGTGGGACAGCGCGGGGTGGATCGGCGTGGGTTCATAAATCGGGGTTCTGTACGGCGAGATCAAACTTTTGAAGGACGAGTTGGGAGACGGGAGAGTCGGCGTGGGGATGACCGGAGTGGAGCAGGAAGATGAAGACGTTGGCGATGAAGAATAGGACGGAGATGTGGAGGTGGTGGTGGAGGTCCTCCCCAGAATGTCCTCGATGTAGAAGGGGGTCGGGTGTGCCGGCTGAATTGGGGTCGGTGAGTAAAGCGGGACGCTCATGATGCCGATCACCGCTGCTGCGCACTGGATCCAAACTAGGGGAGAGCTTCGCGTCTTTAGTCCCGCAGCCTTCCTCTTTCTATCACAGCAACTTTTTATGAGCCGCGCTAACCTCTGCTCAGCCAGTCCCGAAACACAACGACCAGAGCCTGTTTCCGAGCTGCTCGGGAGACCGTTACACTGTTTTAGTGTCCATCAGGTTGCTGCGGAGCTGCCACTCTGTTCAACTGTTGCTGCTGTTATCTGTCTGCAGCCGAAGGAGGGAGGAGATAAGTGGACGGCCAACTTCCTGCAGGTGGCCGGCGGCCGTTTCTGATTGGCTTGCACGCAGTTCTTAACGAACTCCACAGTGGTCGGATGACAGGAGAGGGGAGATAATTGTGTTTCAGAAGAATCGACGCGACGCAAACAGGTAATCAGAAAACAGACGAATGTAATGGAACAGAGCCGGCGCTGAGAGTAGCTGGGTCTGAAAATGCAAGTACGGGCCCGCTCACACTTCAGCCTCCTCACGGTCACACTCCTAAGAGTGTACACCGCCCATAATGTTTGAGTAAAAGTCACACTCCTACTCAGCTCAAAACTGTTTGCATTTACCCAAAGCACCTCAATCAAAACTTGCATGCAAAATCATATTACTGGATCATAGCCGAATAATGAGTGAACATCCGTTTATTGTTGCAGTATCTGCATACTGCTGTGTCATATATGTATTAGCACAGTGATATGTGTAACTCGGCACAATAAGAAATACGTTTTCACATAAATGAAATATAAGAGCACATGCACTGTTACACAGGAGGAGCGTACAGCGTTTTCGTGACCTTGTCTGTTAGCAGTCTCAGATGATTTAATGGTAACTTTGAGGAGATTTTGCATTAGAGCCGGGCTTTCAAAGATAAGATAAGTGTGATTTGAAATGATAGTTCTCACTGGTTTTGCTCCAGGAAGTATCATGTCACAAGTCAGCGGATTGGCCCACGAGGGTAGCTGTCCAAACTGTTTAGGTTCTCCCAGCCAGAGATCGGCATCATTGCTTTATGCAAAAAGACATTCCCCGTGGTTTGGCACCACGCTGAAGTGAGACAGTTAGGCAAAGAGCGCGATGATCCACTTGTGTGAATAACATTTCTTTGGCAACATTGTTTTTAAAAATGTTGAACAAATGTTGAATGTCAGATGGAAAACCCACGTGAACAGAGCACAGACAGCACGCAGCGCTGCTTTTATACCCACACACACACCTTTGTGTAGTCAAACGGGCCGCAGCCTTATCTTAACAGTGTAATAGAGGCCGACTGCGATCCACGGCCCCAACGTTGCAGCTCAATCAAGTGGGATTAACTCCTGATTTGAATGTTTGGAGTTTTCCTGTGAAATCCACTGTGGGATGAGATCGCAATAAACGCTCGTGTATGTAACGGCTCACTAAGTGATTGGATGTTAAACAATAACCGGAGACTTCTGCTTTAGTCACAGCGGGGCCCAGCTGCACGCGCGCAGGGCCTCGCGACATTTTATCATCACGCGAGTTCATTAATCGTCGCTGGAAACGGCGACTCGCACCTGGGAGCCGGACGACGGCGTTTATCTGCTCGCTCCCCGAAACCAGCCGCCGGCTCGATTTCCTGGCGCGCGCCCCCGTCTGCCAACTTTCTAACGGCTGTAATTTAGATAAAGTGGAGCAAACAGCCTTAAAGACATCAAAGACATCCACAAAACGGCTAATATTTGGACTGAGACAATCATTGCAGCTCATTGATCCGGCCAGCCTCCCGTGGCGTCAGACTCCGGGCCAAAAACCGCTGATAACTCGAGTGAGCCGCCCCCCGGCAGCTGGCGCCATATATCTGCCATTGTCAGTGCAAGCCACTCAGTCTCCTCCTCACGAGTCAACAGTATCCCGATTATCAAACGCATCGGGATGTGCCCGGCCTTCCTTTGTTCGAGTTTGGAATGACCGAGGAAACGTAACCATGAGAAACGGCACAGAGCATGCGCTATGGAAATGAAGCAGCAGGTGATACTCGGAAAATTAGAATAAGTATAACCATGCATACGCACTCTGTACTTGGTTTGGGCCCCTTTTGCATGAATTACTGCCTCGATGCAGCGTGGCGTGGATGCTACCAGCTGTGGCGCTGCTGAGGTGTTACGGAAGATTGTGGCCACACTTTGCACGATATTTGAATTCCTCGAGTTTCACCTGTGGATGTCTTCATTGTAGTGGGAAGCTTAGAAGCAAAGAAATAACAGTCCACGCGTGAGTTTGGACGAGCCCAGGGGGCTTTTTTACTTAATCATGTGCATCACTGCACTGAGCAGGACTCAAGGAAGACTTTGTAAAAGACATTTTTACAACAGTGAACAGGCAGCCGATAAAAACAAATCAGATCCTAAACTTACAACAAAAACTTCACAGGTGTTCGGTGCCACAGACACTGATCTCGCCGTTCCCTCGCAGCTCCTCGCCGATCGTACGATCAGGTTATTTACTCTTCACAAATCTGTGCAGGTCCAGCAACATGGTAACCTGCTGAGTCTCCTTTGCTCCCGTTTCTCATTATATGACTGTTTGCTTTACAACTTTTAATGTAAGGTGTCATGATGTTCAAACTTTAACTAAAACTGAAGAGTATGAACCAAAAATCTGTCTTTACATGAAAGGAAACCCCTTCCTCTTCCCTCTGCATCCTGGTCCCGGTCAGGTGACTACCTTCTTTGGCTTCGGATGATCCTCCTCCGGGTCTCCCTCTGAGCAGGTCTTCAGCGAGCGCAAGACGTGTTCCAGCGTCCACTGCTCCTCGTGTAAGGCGTGCTCCTCCAGAGTGAACGGACCCTGCTTTGTTCTGACCAGCTCCTTCACATGAGCGCAAGAGGACAGAGCTGCAGCACACAGACAGCGTTACTCAGCAACACGCCGTCGATGGAAAGGTGAAACAGGTGGAAGGCAGTCTCACCTTTTCCCAGGTCATCCACCAAACTTCTGACATAGAACCCACCACCACACTCAATATCTGCAACACGAAGGAAAGCGAAACATTCAGCCAAAGAGGACACAACACCTAAAAGCCTGTTGTGTGATGCAGCGTGTCGAACCCAGAGTGAAGAGAGGAGGCTTGAACTCCTGCAGGGTCAGGCTGTACACCGTGACGGGCCTGGCCGGTTTGGCATCGACCTTGTGACCTTTCTTCAGCAGGACAGACAGACGTTGGCCATCCTTTTTTAATGCCGAGTATCTAAAACGATTATAAGAAAAGAGTTGGTTACAAAATACACACATTTAGCACCAAGAACTGTTTTTATGTGAACTCCATGTATAATGACACAAAGGCACTGCTTCCTGCATCAGTGGGAATCAGCACTGCAGTGAGCAAACAGTGACCTCCAGAGGCTTCATAGGTCACTGCGCTACACTAATAAGACGAAAAACCCTCAAATGTTTAAAGAACTGGACCATTGAGAGGCCTTTCATTCATTCTCCCAGGGGACACGAACGGCATTAAAGGACACACGATCGGTTTACTGCAGCTGGACATTTAGATCTCAGAGCCTCTTCACACAGAACTGGGTCCACACATCACTTCTTAGCCTTTACAACAATTAGTCATTGCGGCTCTCTGATCATATCATTAACCTGTAACATGCCATCAAACTGGCTGCACATTCAGAGAAAACTGGTTTCAGTTCAGCCACTTGTTGAAGCCTCTGGCGTCTACTGCCGCGTGTTGTGCGCTCTGCCGTGAAGGCGATTGGCTGCAGACTCCCATCTCTGCAGGGCCTGTGCGCCTCCAGCACACTGGGGCGTGGAGCTGGGATCTCAGCTGACCCTTCTCACCCTGGACTCAGTCTGTTAGACCTGCTCCCCTCAGGCAGGAGGCTCCGGCCCAGTCGCACCAGAACCTCATCATAAGAACAGTTTCTCCTCTGCTGTTGGACACATGAACAGTAACATAAGACTGGTCCCACCCCAAACACATGGCCCCATACTTCTCTGCATCTGTTCCACTTTTGCACTCATGTATATAGTAATCTGCTTAGCATTTTTCATTTTTATGTTTATTTAAGTGTTTGCCTTCATTTCCTAATGTTGGAAAGCTGCTCAACATTTGGCAATAAAACCTTTTCTGATTCTGATCTTTGCTTGTGTAGACTCAAAATGATGACACGGCTAATGTCCCTCAGAAAATGGAAACAGCTTCTCCACACATGGATGTGTAGGCCTATTTTAACAATCACACTCATTTTTGTGGTTCCCTGATTTGAATTTTCCTGCTGCATCAGCCAACCTGGCACATTCCTGGAAGCGTCTGTGATAAAGCTGGTGAACCGTGCAAAGCTGTCATCGCGCCTCTGAGTTCAATTCATGCACCTTCATGTAAGGTAAGCATCGAACCACTGCACCACGGAGCCACTAAATGACTGCAACCCCCAAAAAGGAAGCTCACATGAACCCCACGTTTATGCATCTACCATCAAATCCAACACCATCCCAAACAAGCGCAGTAACAGAGGACGTGAAGTCCTGAGCTGCTGCTCGGAAAGTTTAGGTTTCGTTTTCTGTAAAAGAAGATTTCATCTTAAGAAATAAACGTTTCGTTTGATCTAATTAAAGCTTCAGACGTTTGGATGTTGACTCACAGCGGAGGCACTTGCATGATGTCACCAGTGAAAGCTTTCAGCTTTTCCTCGACGTCCAGCCTGGTTATGTGTTCTAGAAAATGTATGAAAACATGACTCACTGAGAGACAGACGGTAAAGGAGAAACCGAAGTTTGCAGATTATCCTGCTGTGTCGATGGATCTGAAAGATCGAATTTACCAAAAGCTTTCTCCAGAGTCACGCTGCCGGTGGCATCAAGAGTGTCTGTTGCTTTTCCAAACTCTCCAACGGCAACGTATTTCTGAAAAACACACAGCATGTGTCACGTTTGTGTCACACCAAGTTCATCCACAGTTAACAAGTTACAGGAATCATTCATGCATTTGTCATCGCAGACATCTAAAGTTCACGAGGCGTTCGGGTCTGTTGAGAAGCTGTATTGTATACACAATGTCCTTATCAATAGATTTGCATGTATACTTGTACCTAAAAAAAAGTGCTTCTCTACACACGCAGAGGTTTGTGTTGTGGTTTCTAACAGCTCGTTAGTACCTGTTAGATCTGCTACCATGAAAGCAGGAACAGACCAATCAGCACGTATCGACACAATGCTAGAAGTTCATGGGGGAAACAGACTTCACTGTGACACAAACTAAAGGACGCGTCGTTTTATTTGGAACATGTCAGTGTGCATCTGCTAAACCAACATGTTTGGCTTCATCCAGGTGACGACATACGGTAGAGTCAGAGCCTGGCTGTGCTCGTCAGCATGCACAATAAACAACAATCAGACACGCGCAGCAGTGCAGCTCTAACCTGCATTCATGCCTCGCACTTTTCACCAGACGTCAAGGTTTAATGCACATTTTAGTTTAGTTCAAACAGCAGTGAAGCAAACTGACCTTTGACCCAGTCAACATTGTGCTGAGCATTTTGGTGCCGTTCCCAACACCAACAACTGAAACAAAGAGAGTCCAATGATTAAAGTCCTGCTAGCGCCCCCCACAGGTTGAAGTGTTCACTGAACTCACTTTTAATTCATTCATCAAAGTTCACCAAACTCAGAATATACTGAAACATTTATATTTAGTGCTCATCTTCGTGCTTTGTTAAGTTGATAACAACCTTTATTCCCTTCTTCATGACATCATCACCTGGGACTTTGCAAGCAGCAGTGAAGCGGCTGCTTTTCCCTCAGACTGACCCAACATCACCTCAAGCTTCAAGGTTCTTTAGTATTTGTCACATGCATAGTTATACAAGTATAACACACAGTGAAATGTAGCTGACTGACTGAACAGCTTTTCTTATGCTTACGGACGAGGTGGAGGCGTGCTCTCGTCTCGCTGTGCTGCGGGGCGCAAATCAGACAACACGGCATCGTGCTGCAGGATGTTGTAGCAGCCATGCTGGTTAAGAGCCGTCTTGCTTGGGCGAGACGCTTCACCCGTTGCCTACTGGTGGTGGTCAGAGGGCCCGGTGGCGCCAGTGTCCGGCAGCCTCGCCTCTGTCAGTGCGCCCCAGGGTGGCTGTGGCTACAATGTAGCTGCCATCACCAGTGTGTGAATGTGTGGATGACTGGATGTGTAAAGCGCTTTGGGGTCCTTAGGGACTAGAAAAGCGCTGTACAAATACAGGCCATTTAATTCAACCACAGTGAATTAATTTTTCCTAAAATTATGGGTGTGGCCACTTTGCCAGACGTACCAGCACAATCAGCAGGGTTGTCTGGCAGGTTCATCTCTGCTAACTGGAGTCAATGGACCGGCCTCCTGCACTTTTAGCTGCATAGGTGCTTTATAAAACACTTTAATAAAGACAAGAACTACAGTTGGGCTCATAGGTTATAAGGAAAATCGAGTCCTATGATATCATTGTTCAACGACAGTGGTTTAACTTGCATTTGAAGGAGGCCATCAAGCTTTAAAAAGCACAAAAACAAAATACAGCTATCAGAGAGCAAATTACCAATGTAGTCCATTCTTAAAAAGATGGAAGCACGGGCCGCCCAGAAACACCTAAAGGCCCAAAAAACACTGAAGAAAATTTAAATGAATTCTTCATTTGAAGAAATAAAAATCCTGACAAAACATCGACTCAAGTCCCAAAAACAGTTGAAGAGCTCGGCCTGTCATTGTTAAAACCTACACCATGGTGCAAACCACTGGTTACACTCAAGACCAAGAAGGCCGGACTGCATCTGCCAGGAAACATTTAAAAGTCACAGTTCTGGAGAAAAAAATCCCACGTTGTCAGGTGAAACTGAGATAAATTTGTACAAAAACGATGGCAAGACAAAAAGTATCCAGAAGGAACTGAAGCATTATCTGTCAAACATGCTGGAAGCAGCATTATGGGCTTGTATGGATGGCTGCCAGTGGAACTGTGCCACTTAAAGATGGTGTGACTGCTGACAAAGCAGCTCAGAGTTAGACAACCTGGGACAGCCTGTTCTACACTGCAGAAATGCAGGAAAAACACCTGATAGATCTAACGAGGTGCCCATAGACACTGAAGCTGTTTCCACTGGCACCTTGATGGAAGTGAGAGAGAAGGAAAGACAGGAGTGTGGAGGTGCTGCCTGAACATCATCTGTGATATCAGTACACCTCTCCAAGGTTGTGTTAAAAGTCCACCGGCCTCGCTCCTACACAGGTGGGTCATCTGGACCATTCCACTCCTCATAGAGGATGACGGGCCAGCACCAGGGGTACACTGCTTATGAGGAACATAGCTACATATCAAAACAATAAGAAGATCAGATTTCATGACTTTACTATATTTTATCCATAGAAAAACAGCAAGCATGTTGTCATAGAAAATGCAGGAGTCACGATGTCGCGGACTTTCCCAGGACACGCGTGGGTAGAAAAATGTGCAAAAGAAAAGAAAATGCACCTGTTACAGAAAAATGTTAAAGTCTTGAAAAAACAACTTCTAGACAAACGACAGTGTACGTCTCAGGGATTTGAGATTGTTATCAACATAAATCTATTTGATCTTAACTCTGTATAAAACGCCCCCAGACATGCATGACTGGAGCAGCCCTGGAGGTCGGGCCCTGCCGGTGCTTTACCGATGCACCCTGCCGGTGCACCCTCCAGTAAACACGGAGGGTGGGACTGACCCCCTCTCCCCCCTCCTCCCAGGGCAGGAATGACAACAGTCGCGCGTGGCCCAGCACCGGGACGTGAGCGCTAGCCTAGCCGCTTACCCAGCACCCCGCTGGCAGCGCTGTCCAGCGTCCCTCCGTGTCCCATCTTCAGGCTCTGGTTCTTCCTCTTCCGCGGGTTTGGATTTTTGACTCCCGCCTCTGAAAGATAAAGCGACACAAACTGTTTACGGTCAGCTTTCCGCAAACACCGGGCTGGACGTCCTGCTGCTGTTTGGTCCCGTTACCCTTGAGCAAAGCTTCCTTGAGTACATTTAACACGTCCGCGGAGGTCGGCCCTTGTTTTTTATATATCGCAAACAATCCGTTTAACGCCTGTAGTTGCGACAAAGAACTAGTTATCGCAGGGACGGTGTTACTGACGCTCCCGGACATGCTCGTTTCTCTTTTCTTTGGCTAATGTCCATCTTCTTCTTTTACCGTCAGTGGCAACTATGCGACCCGTTGTTGTCTTTACTGCCCCCTGCTGGTTGAGCAAACACTCCGTCTTCCTTCTGCATGAATAACATTATTAAACAACACGACGCTTAACAGCCTTCTGTTGTTGACGATCTGTTTAAGCAGTATTATAGGCAGTCTTCGCCCATCCTCACACAGATCAGGCCTGATAAAAACCAACAAACAGTTAGATAAATAAAGATTTTTTCGAAACTACGTTGACCAAAATGCTTTGCGCCAAACACTTCCTAGTTACTCTGTGCCCTGGTTTCCTTCTTCTGTCAGCTGGTCGAGCTACGACAACAATAACTGTCAGGACGACAGTTTTGGTGGAGGTCTGTGTTTTTATCTTAACCTGTAATTATTATTTTGATCGCTAGTCACGACATCCGGTTTAAACGCCTCCTTACTCTGATCATCGGTTGAAGATTTGATTGTCCCGCGCGAGCCTCTGACTCGCGTGGAGATAGCTCCTCGCGTCACTTTCATTCAAAACTGGCTGCTCAGCGTGGCTCTGCCTGTTACAAGCTACCATGTAAAATACACGTCAGTCCGCTCTAAATGCACACAGCTGTGCGGGCTGGTCGCTGCAGTGGTTACAGTTGAGTCAGTGTCGTGTGATCGTCAATTCTTTCTTAAATTCAGCAAAAGCTCGGCGTTTTCGTTATTGATTAATGCGTTTATCTTTGATGCAAAGAAAATCAACAGCACATGTATAGATAGCAGCAGTAGCAACTTTTGTCTCTCCTTCTTTTCACCAGTTGGTCTGAGGACGGAAAGCTCTGCTCGTCAGATGATCAGGAGTCTGCAGAGCCTGGATGGAGGATTTCAGGCGGATATACCTCCGTCTGTGTAAGGAGGGAGGCGTGGAGCCTCAGGAGGGTGTTGTAGCTCAGCTCCAGGAGAGCAGGTCTGCTCAGGGCTCCAGACTGGACCTGAGTGGACAGAGCCTGTCTGCAGATACCTGCTCAGTGCTGGCTAAGGCCTTCCATAAGGATACTGTCTTTACTGAGGTGTCACTCAGTGACTGCATGCTCAGCGAGGAGGGTGCGTGAGGACAGTCTTTATGTAATGTGGAGAATTATACAGTATGTGCAAGTGTATGGTGCTCGTTGATGTCAACGATGCAGTGAGGTGGCCCTGCCCGAGTCACTCTGCTGCGGCACGTCTATTTAACGTACTTTAGTCAGTCTGATGATTGATAAAACTATCAGAGCGAGTGTGTTAGGCTACATATCACACAGATGCTGTCAACAAAGTCCTTTGGTTCTGATCCTGAACACATCTTCACATTTACAGAGTTTTCTCTGCTTGAATTAGAAGGATAAATGCAAGCAGTCTTTTTTAAATGCAACAAACAAACAGAGAAATGGAGCACATTCATATAGATCTCTTTTCTCATTAGCACAATAAACCACATTTGCTGCTCTGGTAAATATTGTGACTCAGGATGTGTTAGTCACTGTGCTGTGTGTGACTCTCAGGTGCCAGAGTGCTCCTCAGTGGACTGTTTGACAACACGACTGTCAAAGTCCTGGATCTGAAGGTACCAGCTCCCAAATTAGACTCTCCACACACGGTGACACTAGTTTTATCTTATTGCACAATGTCTGTGTGTCCTTAGGTTGTGTTTTTATTGTTCACAGGGGAATAACCTGAGATCATCAGGAGCTGAGGTGCTGGGACAGTTGTTGGCACAAAACAAGACGCTGCGCAGGTAAGACTCATGCTTTTCCTGTCTGTGTGCCATTTCATTTCTTTCCCTTATGGAGGTTAATAGTTGTGTAGCACCGGTTTACAACTACAGATCGTAAGCTGTCTTTTAACAGCGGGAGACCTGTGAAAGCCCACAGGCTGAGTGTAGAGACACGCAGACACTTTAGTGATCACACAGAATATTTAGTAGTTGAGTTAACCACACAAAAACCGCTGTAGTCACTTCTGTTTATGGTGAGAAACACTCTGACACTTTGTATTTCACCACAAATGAGTTTCAATCAAACAACCAAGATGTGAACAAAAATATTGCATTTGTGGGAATTAAAGCGATTTTCAAACACCTGACATGAAAGTAAGAGCAGACAGCCTGTAGTGTGGGACATCATACTGAAAAGAAAACAAACCCATCAGAGAGACAGCAGAAACGTGACCCAGTCGTATCACGCATTTCTGATCATTGCAGGAACCTGTCAGCACATAGTGTGAGCACTGAAGAGTGTCCCTAATTAACTGGCAGTGTTTGGTTTTTGCAGGCTGGTGCTGGAGTGGAATGCGTTGGGCGTGTGGGACGAAGCTTTCTCGCTCTTCTGCAGCGGTTTAGTTTCCAACTGCGCGCTGACGCAGCTGGACCTGCGCAACAATCAAATCAACCACCATGGAGCGTCGGCGCTCGCTCTGGCACTCAAACGCAACAGCACACTGGAAGTTCTAGGTGACTCTAACTGGTTAACGTCATGTACCGTGTTGTTCGGTAGAGAACAGCTTTTAAGAGCAGCCTCCGTCGTATGGCAGCATCATAAGTTTAGGTTGTAGAGGCTGCTGTTGTCATCAGCACATGGTCCATGCTAACTCCTCTTACCTCTCTCAGATCTGAGGTGGAACAATATTGGTCTGCTGGGAGGCAGGTCCATGCTGGAGGCACTTCAGAACAACAAGAGCATAGTGCAGCTGGAGATGGCTGGGAACAACATTCCCAGTGACACGCTGAAAGCTCTCGGTAAGTCCTACCTGAGGTCGTAACGCTAGCAGTATGGCTTCGTTAGCGTTACTATAACATGGTCACGCTGAGAGCCATCTTTACCTTTCAGAGCAGGCCACAGGGCACAACTCAGACAGGCGGTCCACCCTGAGGGAGAGTCGCAGCCGCACACAGGTCCTCAGCAAGGAGATTCAAACACTGAAGGAGGAGAAGGGCCGGCAGGTAACCTCGCATTCCCGAACTGCAGACACCACAGGTCAGCCATTCACCTCCAAGAAACATTTCTCCCAGAGAAGCGATCAGAAGTCTACAACCTGTCTGAATACGGGACTTCTGATCCTCCCAGCACTTGCACCACCAGTAGGAAATCCCAGTGCATGCACTCTTGTAGCTATAGCCCACTGTGGTTACAGATCCACAGATCCACAGACCACAGGATGGATTCTGTAAAGGTTTATTTTCTGTGTAGTGATGCACCTTTATTTACTTTTCCAAAGAGACAAATGCAAACAGATCAATGTCAAAAAGCAATATGCACTCGAGAGGTGAGTGCAGCTGTTTCTCATCACGTAGTGGACACACAGCCTAGTTCCAGCTCAGTGTCCATACCAAAGTGAATCTCATAAATAGCCAAGACACACATATCGGTACAAATCAGGTTAACGTTTGGACTAAGCTGATAACGATGGAGCGAGGGTTGAGGGAGTCTGATATCTTCACGGTTGTCTACACAAATTTGTAACGTGTAGTCAGATATTTCTGTGAGTCATAATGAACCACAGTAATGTCCAGATAACCTACTCAGATTAAATACAGTTTTTTTTATTTCTAACTTTTGTTTCAGTTCCTGAGCCTGATGGAGACCATAGACAGGCAGAGGGACGAGATGGGGCGCTCCAGTAGGTGAGCGGTGACTCTGTGGCCATTGGCCAATAGCCTGGAAGATGGTGTGTGGGGACACCTGCATCCTCTTATGATTCTGTGACTTTCTCTCTGTCATCAGGTCAACCTCCAGTCAGATCGGCCAACTCCAGGAAGCTCTGAACGAGAGAAAGTCCGCTGTCAACTCTCTCACCGCAAAGTAATCGTTTCCTCCTCCATCAGTCCTCGTCCAGCAAACAGCTGTGTGAGAAGACAGCCGCTCGTATATATGTGGCTGCTGCAGTCATACAAGAAGAAAGCACGAGGATCACTTTATATCAGGAGACTTGGCACTCAAAAAAATGCTGAAATCCACGGAGAGTTCTAAGCCCCTCCCCCAGTTAGCCAGTCGTGTCGTGCTGCCGCGTGTGAACAATAGGTTGTAATGCTGTCAAACTGTACGTGTGCCCAGCAGGTGTGGAGTAACGTGTCACAGGAAAGCTCTTTGTTACAGAGTCACAGAACGTTGTTTGTTTTTGACGTGTGGGTTTGAGTCCCACTGAGCACTGAAGTGATCGTTGTCCAAATAACTGCCTGGATTTCGTTTACAATCTAGCAGAAACGCAGGGTTCTGACTTACTTCAAGGTCACAGCTTTCAAATGCTGTGGATACATCTGGAAAAACACAGCACATGCAAAAATGCCCCCAGACATCTTGCAACTGAAGGATTTTTGCATGAAGCCACGGCCAAAAAAGTCAGCAAGCTGAGGAGAGCGGTGGACAGTTATGCAAAAGGCAGAGGAGTTATTTCTGCCAGCAGAGAACAAGAGAAACAAGAGGGAGTCCAGCCCTCCTCTCCTTCTAACCAACACCTTTATTATGAGCCACTCTGCAAACGCAGAAGCTCTGATGCGTTAGGACACTGGGATGATCGATGACGATTATGGTTTCCAGTATCCCAACATGATAGCAGTTCTTTGTTTGTCCTATTTTCATGACAGCGATGTCATTCTGAGGAAGTATGCAGGAAAGTCTCGAGACTTGGCACAGACGTCAGTTTGGACAAAGGATTAGCTGATTCTTGTTGGTAGTCAGAGATTAAAGATCGGTGTAACCGGGGCCTCAAACATGCGTTTAACAGCATCATCTGTTGTTGTGCAGGCTGCAGATGACAGAAGCTGCCCTCGCACTCTCTGAGCAGAAAAACCAAAACATGGGAGAGCTGCTGTCTCGACTGAAAGCTGAGAAAGAAGAACAGAGGGAACAACACAGCAAAGCGAGGAAGAAAGAGCACGAGGTACAGAGTGATGGCAGCTTTACCTTTCAATGGTAGGACACTCTTAAACAAGCTGAAACACATGACCGGCATGTACATGCTACCTCCTTGCATTATATGTCATGTGTATTTTTTTTATTCTTATTCTTTATATATATATATATCCATACATACGTATATATACACATTTTCAATAACCCCATTAACACCTCAAAGGACACAACCTATATATATGTATATATATATATATGTGTGTGTATATATATATATATATATATATATATATATATACACACATATGCATATACACACATATGCATATATATATATATATATATGCATATGTGTGTATATATATATATATATATACACACACATATGCATATACACACATATGCATATATATATATATATATGCATATGTGTGTGTGTGTGTGTGTGTGTGTGTATATATATATATATATATATATATATATATATATATATATATATATATATACACACATATATGCATATGTGTGTGTATATATATATATATATATATATATATATGTATATGTATATATGTGTGTGACGTGTGCGTGCGCGTGCGTGCGTGTGTGTGTGTGCCGTGTGTGTGCCGTGTGTGTGCCGTGCGTGTGTGTGTGTGTGTGTGTGTTACTGTCACCTCTTCTCCGTCCTTCTGTAGGACGCTGTACTGAGACAGGGAAAACTCCTCAGAGACATCCAGAGCCTGACAGACACCAACGGTCAGCTGAAGAATAACGTACGAGGCCTGTCTTTTCACATCATTTGCACTTTGGTATTTGCACTGTGAGCACTCTGGGATGACGGTGTGTGTGTTAGGTGGAGGAGATGGAGCGCAGGTGTAAGTCTCAGCAGCAGCTGATCTTTGAGCTGAAGCAGGAGCTGACCACCAGCACAGCTGAGCTCAAGCTGCGACTAGCACAGGCTGAAGGTAACGTTATCAGCTATGAACATATAAAGTCCTTTTGTAATGTGAACGGCAGCAGAGATTTCCTGTGTGTCTGACAGACCGTTTGGAATCAGAGAAGCAACGGTCCAAGCAAGCCCTGGATGACATGGACGGTCTCCGGCAGAAAGAGGTGTGCTGTTGGGTGGCACACAGCGCCACGTAGAGGAATCAAAATAAGAGCAAAATGTTTTAATAGATGGGGTCATTTTAACAACATCAGTTACTGAAAGTTTATGTTCCTGTGAAGGTGGAGCATATAAACCGACATCTGGAAGAAAGTGAGCGGGCCCTGCAGGATCGCATTTTCAAACTGGAGGGACAGCGGATACAACTGGAGGAGGTCCGAGCTCGCACCACTCTAACTGCAACGCAACATACAAGTATTTATGTTTACCACAATCAAAGGGATGCGTGTTACATCGCCCAAATCTGTGACGGAGCAACTTGGCATACCACATAAGATACACTCTTGTATCATCTGGCTTCATGGACAGATAGAGCTGGGTGTCATCAGCATAGCAGTGTAAATGTATGCTATGTCTTCTAATGATACTGCCTAAGGGAAGCATGTATAATGTAAACAGAATTGGTCCTAGCACTGAACCCTGTGGAACTCCATAATTAACCTCAGTGTGTGAAGAGGACTCTCCATTTACATGCACAAACTGGAGTCTATTAGATAGATATGATACAAACCACTGCAGCGCAGTACCTGTAATACCTACAGCATGTTCTAATCGCTCTAATAGGATATTATGGTCGACAGTATCGAACGGATCCAAAACTGGAGTGTCTCTGATTTTGATCTGTCATATTGTGAATGGAAGATATATACATTACCTGAAGTAGTGACACATCCAGGGATGTACGAGCTTTAACACAGAGCCTGAATTTAATTTTGTTTCTTTACTATATTTAAGGTTCAGTGAGTCTCTGTTTATTTAAGGATTGAAGGGTCAACTTTCCCTAACTGTATATTCCAGACAGTTATTCAAATCCACAAGCAAACATCTCTTTGGCACCAGGGAATTTCCCAGTTATCAGGCCAAACTGAAGGTGACTGTAGAGAGCATGGGACACCTTGGTACTGCAGAGGACAATGATAAAACCACAGCTGCTGCACACAGTTTAATAAAACAGTTTCCCTGTAATCTGGGAGCATTTCTACAGAATGAATGACAGTGAAGTGGAACTCTTAATCCTACACCCAGAGTGGGAGTTAACGAATCACCCCGAATGTGTTTCTCATGATAATCTGTCGTCTCATCTGTTCCAGGAACTGAGTAAAGCTAAAGCAGCGTTTGTGGCAGAAAGGGCCCAGGCAGAGGAGGAGCTGGGAAGAGTGCGAGCCCAAGTGCGTTTGGAAGAGGTGAGTTCAAACTTTGGTCACTTACCGACTCACAACCTAAGTTTTCAAAGGTGGTGAGTGGAGAACGAGCATCTCCACTCCGGTGGCCGTACTTTTCTTTCCCCACCCACCACTTTGTCTTTGACTAGCAGGACGAGTCATTTACTCAGAGCTCTGAGGAAAAGCAGAGCGTGGCTGAACCCCACCGACCCAACTGTCATCATGCTGTCAGTGTGTGTGTGTGTGTGTGTGTGTGAGTGAATCTCTAAATCTAAATCATCCTTAAAATGACCTCAGTCCTTAAATTAATGAAAATGTTCTAAGCTGAGTAAAAACGTCTTTTTGCTTTGACCTGCAGTGACCCTGCAGTCACAGCATCAGGCAGAGACGAATGAATCATTGCTCCACGTGATCATTCCTCATGAATGGGTTAAATGCAAACTGCACCATATTTTATTTAATATATGAATATTTTGACGTACAGTGAGCACAAGCTCGCTGAAGTGGCAAAGACAAAGAAACCTGGGGAGGCAAACTGACTCCACAGGCTCCTCTGTAGAATAAACGCTCTCTCCTTTAGTTACACAGATTTGTTGGTTTATCACACAACTGATCAGAAAATCAATATGGGCAACGTATTGGGATTGCATCATATTGTAAGTTTCCCTAATGTTAAAAAGCACTGTCACCTGTAATAGCTGGACTCTAATACCTGAGAAAGACCCTCCACAGCATTTCCTTCTGTGTTGATTCCTCTGAGCAGCAGGAGCACGCGTCGTCCTTGGAGGAGAAGCTGCGCTCGGTGCGTTCATCCCTGCAGGAGGTCCAGCTGCACTGTTCCCAGCAGAAACAGACCATCTCTGAGCTGCAGGCCAAGAACAGCCAGCAGAGCATCGAGATGGACGGACTACGACGCAGGATAGAGGAGCTGCAGCAGGTCAGGATGCACCAGCTGCCTGTTGTACAAACACCACTCCCACTGTAGCTCCTGTATCTACAGCAGAGTTTGGGCCTAGAACAGGTTTCAGCTGCCACACCTCTAACTCCCACCAGCAGAGGTGGCTAAAGTACACACAGTGTTTCCATACTTGTGTTAAACGTTACTCAGTAACAGTGAAAGAGTACAGGCTCTGAAACGTACTCAGAGTAGGACATTACTGCCAGATGCTTTTGTGGAGAGCTAACTGAAGCTCATGCTCTGTTATCATTACAATCAAATAATATTAGCACATAAAAGTAAAACCTCTGCCTCCACATCTAAACAGAGAAATGAGCACTAGAGGTGGGTCTTTATAATCGATTCATCGATTAAAATCGATTCTGGCTTGGATAACGTGATATCAATTCATTAAAATCCTGAATCAATTTTTAAATATAAATTTATTTTTGCCCGAAACGCCAGAATCTCAGGTTAAACCTCACAACATTTCAACCACCAAACAGCTAAAACAGTGAATGAGAGCAGGAACAGGCTTCTGCACAGAGACGTAAACGCGATGTGACTTTCTCACCGACGGCACGGTCGGGGCTGAAAGCCGACAGCTCGCTGATTCTGATGTTTCGGCGGGTCGAGCTTTGTGTTCACGCCCTTTTTGAGCTGATTCTAAAGCTGTTGGTTTGATCTCTCTCCAAACATTATTGACCGAACCAGCAGCAAAAGAAGATCCAAACTACGCTTCACATAAACGACAACAACTCGGACTTTTGCTGTTTTGCTTCCACCAGGATAAAATCTCACTTCATGCACAGCTCTCTCTCTCTCTCTCTCTCTGTCTGTAGTTTCCCGTCTAAAAAGCTGTTTTCTGCATTATTCGTTTGCTTATTGCACAAGTTGTTTACAGGCTGTTTTTTTTCCTTTTACTTACTTCCGACAAGAAAGCCTCATTTCTGCTCTTCCATGGGCTCCTGAACTTATTTAAAATTATGCAAAATTGCAAAACGCTCAGCTGTGTCTGTAATAAAACTGCTGTAACTTTGCTCTGCTTCACGTCAGCAGCATCAGGTCATGTTCATATAGGGCTGCTCAATTAATCGAATTTTAATCACGATTACGATCTGGGCTTTCAACGATCATTAAAAATGACTGAGCCGATTATTAGCCCCTCCCTCATTTATCCGCGACACCTTAAAGGCCGGTCCGTGAAAATATTGCATAAACCGGTCCGTGGCGCAAAAAAGGTTGGAGACCGCTGATTAAGAGGACCCGAGGGAAGCTCGGAAAGCTAAGCAGGAGTTATTTGGAGAGGAGAGTGACTGCCGCTGGTTGAAAAGACAGGTAAAAAAAACTTCAGTGGTGTTGCACACTATGTTATATTATTTTTTAAAGTCATTGTTAACCCTTTAAAGCCGGTCAGAGCAGCACGCTCCGTTTTGTGTAACTATTTTTAAATCCCTGTAGAACCTGAACCATGTAAGCTAGCGCAATAATTTGTTTTGCATATGAAACCGGAGGAGTTGTACTTACATCTGATGCCATCAGCTTGTCCTCGGTCACAGTTTCCTTCCACATAAAGCTTTGCAAAAATTGCATAAAAAGCTCTTGCAGGAACAAAAACATAATATTCCAGAAACACGCTTTGCCGATCCGATCAGCTGTTCGTAACACTTCCCACAGTGAAACAGACATCAACACGAACTATCTCATGTCCGCCATTTCCTGTCTGAAACCGGAAGTGATGTCATTTTCGCGGAAATTGTAGTTTTTTACTTGTAGGCCTTAAAAGCCTCTACTGGTGTTTTTATAAGTCATGTTTGACCTTTCTGAATAGTTTCTGGGATGCTTAGAACTCGAATTGCACAGCTGGAAATAGTTTATTTTGATGCACCTGCTGTTTTCTTTGCAAATTTGCATCATAGGATTGTTTTTTGTTTTTCCTGCAGTATATAAAAATTGCTGTATCTCCAAAATAAAACTATGAAGACACTCAAAATAAATTTCCTGTTGTTGTAAACTATTTTTTGCAACTTTTTTGTATTTCAAGTTTTGAGGGATAAACCTCTTACATTTCTCCAAGTAGAAATATATGTAAAAAAAAACAAAAACGATTTTCAATTTTTTTGTAGTTTATTGCACTTTTTTGCAATTAATGTAGTTACTATGGACTTAATGCAGACATATTATTAAGATATGGGCTATAACAGTTGTATAGCAACTTGAAATGCTCCCACAAATGGCACTACAACATGTAAAAAAATAATATAAGCTCTGGCGGACTTGGTTCTATGGTAGGTCTTAAAGGGTTAAATAAATATCGTCAAATAATCGAGATCTCAATTTCAGTGAAAATAATGGTGATTATCATTTTTGCCATAATCGAGCAGCCCTATGTTCATATGTTGATTAATGGTTTTCTTTCGTTTTTGATCTACTGCAGAATATTTTACGGTCATCGGCTATAAAAAACCAGGCCAGGAAAATCTCCTTCATGCTTTTCTCTGTTTTATCCTCAGTCACTTTGACACAAAGGCCTCTGCTGTGATGCTCACACCTTTGATAAAGTCTCACAAGTGTCAGCTTTCTTTTGATAGATATAAAAACATGGAAATGTACTGATGCATGACCTGGATTATAATATTTCTGACTGTCTGAGGCAAAATTTCCCCGATTCCAATAGAATAGAATTGAATCGAATCGTGGATCGAATCGATTCTAGAAATCAGTGATGATACCCAGCCCTAACGAGTCCAGTCGGGGTCAAAGACTGGCAGTACTGGCTCCATGTTGCTGTTGTGAGCTGCAGCAGGTCTTCTTTCTCTGCAGGCTGTGATCAGCTGACCTGTGCCGCTGCTGCTCTGAGGTTTACTGCTCTTTGATTTGATCTAACACAAGCTATCTTGACTGATTTGCTCTGCCTTCATGCACACTCCTCTGCTGCAGTGCTAGCTTGATGCTGAAGCACTGCAACCACCATGTTTGGACATCTACACCAAAATTGCCATTCTGGACCATTGCACCTACTTTAATACCCGAGCATAGCTCCATAAATGATACATCAATGTTATGATTTTGTCTCCTTCATTTCTTTGTAGGCAGTAAACCTCGGTGATGCTAGATATACAGCTAGCTTGTGTCAACAGGAAACCAGAAGACAGGAGCAGCCCTGAAAGCACAGCTACCATAGTGTTGGCTGCATACAGCCAAGCATCTGTGCAGGCTGGTGACTGATGTAGCAGACCGAACCAAAGGCCACATATAGGGGTGTTGAACTCCAGGCATCGAGGGCTGGTGTCCTGCAGGTTTTAGATCTCACCCTGGGTCAACACGCCTGAATCTAATGATGAGTTCATTACCAGGCCTCTGGAGAACTTCTGGACATGTTGAGGTCATTTAGCCATTTAAATCAGCTGTGTTGGATCAAGGACGCATCTAAAAGCTGCAGGACACCGGCCCTCGAGGCCTGGAGTTCGAGACCCCTGCTCCACACAGAAAGGCCCGGCCAGGAGGTGGAATCGAACTCTGTGAGGCAGCAGCGCTAACCACTGCACCACCGTGCTTATGAATGAATGAAAGTAACCTATCAGCAAAGTGCTACTTATATTCATTCATGAGTCCGTTTCAGAGGCATGTGGTCTGTAAACACTGTGACGTGGACCTCCAGTGACACTGTGAAGAAGCCTGCAGGAACTTTTGTCCTGTAACAGTAAACAGTCTGCCTTCTTTCATCTGAACAGCACTGTCTAAAGTAGGGAAGCTCCTGACTCGCAGTGGAGCTGAAAATAAAGAAAAGATTTCTGACTGATTCCTTGTCCTGAATCCAGAATGCAGCACCAAGAGCTGTGGAAGAGAAGTTGTTTCCACACATAGAAAGAATTTTTTCATTGGCTTTGAATTGTTCTAAAATTTAAATAAAATCTAAAAAGAGAAATAACTGAAATTGAATTGAATTAAAGATGTTGGAGCAGGGACAAATCTGTACACTGACTCGAACAGTTACTGTCAGAGCCTGAAACGCTGAAGTAAATTGGCCTAATCTGAAGTGATAAATGAGGGGTGCTGTGCTCTTACAGGAGCTGTGCTGCAAAGACCAGGAGAAGGTGGCTGAGGTGAGCCGGGTGAGGGTGGAGCTGCAGGAGCAGATTGGACATCTCCAGGCAGAGAGGACGGCACAGGGAGCACTTAAAGAAAAGATCAGCGCTCTGGAAAGAGAGCTTAAAGGTTCGCCGTCCGCTTTTGTTCCGGTTACTTTTAAACTTTACATAAACTTTGCGTCTTTGTGCCAGGACTGTCTGGAAGCAACAGTGTGACTTGATTCTGTGCTGCTCTCTTTCATGCTGTTCTCTCTCTGGTTTGCCCTCTTGTAGTGCTGAGTAGTAACCACAGGGAGGCTCTTCTGGACAAAGAGAGCGAGATGTCTTCCATGTTGGAGAAGCTGCGGCTGAAGGAGGCAGAGATCCATAGGATTAGGGAGGATGAGGCCAACAGAGCCAGCTATTTGCAGAGTGCCGTCCTCTCGTACATTCACGGTTCTCCTCTGGGACACCACAGCAGCCTCCAGAAATGAGCCAGCAGGGCCTCTCTCAGGGCTCCCGCACTGGGCAGGACCAGGCATAGCTCCACAGAGCTGAAGAATATTCTGACGTGGACGATCAGTGCTCAGCAAATAATAACCATACCTAACATAATGTTAAAAATGACAAATCTCATCAGGACGTGCTCAGTTCAATGGTGTGCTACTTTCTTTTTTTATTGCTACTTTTAATAAATACACAGCGCACTTTAAGTGCCAACACTTTCCACACGTTCCAGTGAGTGTAGTAGAAAGCAACAAGGTTTTCACATGATGAAAAATAAGAATCGGCTGTGCATTTGTAAAAGGAACTATGGCTTCACTGAATGATGGAGCGAATGGATTTACAGTGGCTGAGGGGAAGAAGAGAGAGCTGTCTGAATAAATACCGATTTCAAAAACTTCTAACAGTCCAGAGGCTGCAAGGCAGCCATCAAACATCTGCAGATGTTTCACAGTCACACAGCTGTTCACACACATCCAGCACATGGTGACTATGACCTTCCACATGTGAAGGTCAGCGCTGCTGAAGGAGTCCTGTGATCAGAACCTGGTCTTGTGTCATAAATTTCCATTTTTATGTCCTTCGCTCACACAGTACACGTGATAAACTGTACTTAGCTTTCACTGCAAGCCAGCGTCATTTCTGCCACATTTATCCAGTTTGAGTAAACGTACATGTTTACAGTCAAAATGATATTTGGTTCAGATATGCCTTAATATTGTATACTACAGAGTAGACACTGATGCAGAGCAGGACACCTGCTGTTTTTACATTTTATAATGAAAGTCCAAATAAAGCTGTTGTGTTTCAGGTCTGCTATCAGTGACAAACCAGCATTGCGTTGTTTTGTGTTAATGCATTGTGCTTGATCTGGATTATTCTAACAGATAAGGTTACAGTAGTGATGGTGTGGCGTGTTGTTGGGGTGGGGATGCATGAGGTCACTAGTATTGAAACTGAAGCCAAAGATCATTAACTGCCAAGATGGTTCAGGCACAAGCTTGTGGAGCTTTAACGTAAAGCTGCTGCGCTGCTGAAATTCATATCCAGGGGATCGGGTCCTTTAAGATTTCTTTTTAATGCGTTGAAACTTTCATCAATTGAAAGTTTCCACTTTCAACAAGGAAACTTGTTCAAGACAAATTTCTTTTGGATCGAGTATATCGAATATGATCGATTCTAAACGTTTCCACAATCTGGCGATTAAGTACGTTTCTGGTCTGCGTTTCTGAATATGTCTGAAGGCAGCGAACACACAACAACTTGTGCGTCTCACGAGGCTTAGCTCGGGACCGTCCGACGGGTTAAACTAAATATCGTTGTGCTCAGTCACGTGGATCGCCCTGTACTAGCTGTCTTTATAACTTAACGTTGTCGATGTAACGTAAGCAGCATCGCTGGTAGCATGTAGCGATGGCGGAAGTGATCGGAGCGAGCCATCTCTTCGTCTACTGGCGTTCTTCTGTTCCGCCTCTGTCCCTTTAAGAACGCTCGGCACTTCTCGGAGACTGTCGTAACTGCTCGTCATCGACCCTTTTCACTGCGGCTCCATCGCTGAGCGGACTGGCCCGCTGTTCTCGTACGAGACCTCAGCGCTTACTGTCGGATCGGTGAACTCCCAGCGCCGGCTCCCTGAAAGCCTCCAGCTGCTGTCCAAATGCAGGCGATTAAGTGTGTGGTGGTCGGCGACGGGTAAGAGCACGCTCACAGAAACGGCACATTTGTCATGTGGGGTTCAGTGATGCATCCACTGATGGATGGATGATGGGAGGATGCTATGTAGTGAAAAGGGGCTGGGGCTCGGCGATCCGTCGGCCGCCTCTCTTTCTCAGATACAGCTCCACGGGCATCTGCATGTGATCACGTCTTCATCCAGCGCAAAGGCAGGAGCCGAGCATCGAGATGCTGCGGGAACACCTACACGCCTGGTAGGCCATTGAAGGCGGGCTGAAGTGCTGATGCACGCTAAGGAATTTGTGGCCCTGTCAGTGGCAAGCAGCAGGCCCCGCTGCCCTAATTCTGCTCCTACTGCATCCAGATCCCACCCAGCGGCATGTGCACTGAAGTCTGCTGCGAGAGTGCGCCGCGCCGTTTGGAAATGCTAATATGATTAGTGGTCGCTGATTAAAGCCACCGGCACTCCTATCAGTTCTTACAAACATCAGGAGCGGCCAAAGGTCTTTTTTATCATCAAAGGCAAAATGGGAAAATAAAAGAATGCTGAGTGCTGCTGTCTGCACACACTGTGTTTACAGCACGGTGCTGTGTGCAGACACACGGAGCCGTCCAACCTACGAGCTCAGTTTACCTTTCAAGTCGAGAAGCCCTCGCCTGCCTCCAGAGGGAGCTGGGGCCGCTCGATCCCTGCAGGAGTCCTAGTCTCACTTCTTATTGGTCATTACTGAGATCACACTTCTTTAACACGCATTCAGCAACTTTTAAAACATCGTCCAGTTGCTGAATTTTTAACCTCGAGGGCTTAGCCGGATATTTCCGAACAGCTGCACTGGTTTTATGGCTCTTTCTGACCAGATCATCTGCACTGAGCTAAATGTGCCACAGTCTGCACAAGTGTGAGTCTTTGACTTGTAGAGAAACGGGCTGTCTTGGATTTGTAGCAAAAGTTGTTTTTTAAAAAAAAATGCAGCAAAATTATATAAATGTCATTTAAAAAATCTTTAAATAGTCTTTTTTTCATTTTAGAAGCACAGACTGTAAGTAAAGATGGCAGTAGCTTCTGGGTGTGAAAAGCAATGGCACCTTAGAGATGCATTACTTCTAATGGCCACCAGGAAAAGACCTCCAGTTTCACCAAAGTCTCTGTGGAAATGATGCTCAGCAGTTTAATCTAGTCTCACCTCCAAGGTGTCAAGTTATACTGATGACATCACACTGCAGTCACCAGGAAGAATACACCTGGGTCTGCTACTGAGCCGCCGTGCCCGGCTAATGTGAGGATTCAAAGAGCGACAGCGTGACAGTGACAGCGTGACCCTGCGGTGGATACTTGCATCTTTGTTATGCAGTCTGTGGTTGGAATCCACTGACTTTAAATGTCGCACACAGCCCCTGACAGTGTTGTTGAGACCACCGCAGGGCTCAGAAAGCTGTTTCTAACAGGAACCTGCTGTTATGTGCGATGAGGCTGTTTATGAGGTGGGCGGGATATAAAAATGTGTGTTTTTCTCGTCAGCTGCCACAAACAGCTTTAATACAGACTGTACAGATGCTGCTAGCTGTGTGTTTGGTGTCTTCAGATTGTTACCTGGTGCCGTTCACGTTACTTGACCCACGCTGACAGTAGCACGCAGGGACGTAATGAAGTGAAGGACAGCAGGTTCGCAGCTTCAGTGTCGGGGTCGTGGGCCAGCTTCACACTCGGAGCAGGGATGTGGTATTACCAGCACCTGTGCATTCACTGCTGTACATCTGCACGTGTAGCACTGTGTGTGTTTGTGTAACAGCATCTCTGTTTCCCTGCAGTTGTTTCAACTTCCTGTTCCTGCGGATCTGTTTGGAGACATTTAAACTCACTCATGTGTGACTTTTGTATTATTGCAGGGTTTTACCTTGTTCTGTTGTGTTTTGGTGCTACATAAATAAAACTGAGTTGAAGTTGAAGCGTGTACATCTTACAGCTTCAGCTTGTGCGACGCAGAGCAAATCTGAACCATTTGTGTGTTTTGAGTGAAACAGGTGTGATTGAGAGACGTACTGTGTGAGTCCAGAGGTCTGGAAGTGAAAGCAAAGGCTTTGCACATTTTCCAGGAGACGGGTTCTGCTTGACATCTCCACCTGAGTGGGTGTCACGGTGGTACAGTGGTTAGCACTGCTGCCTCACAGCAAGAAAGTCCTGGTTTTGAACTTCGCATGTTGTCTGCTCCTGCATGCTTTCTCTCCTGCACGGCGGGTAGTTATTCTGAAGCATCATTTCATTTTCACTTGAAGGACCTAAAATCTGCTTGCATATCAAAGCCACGTCTGATTTTTAGAAAAGAACTGCGGGGCCTGAGCTTACCCTTTGATGGACTCATTTCTAACCCTGGCCATGTTGGTCCCTCCCAGCAAGCATTTTAGCATCTTCAGCCCTAACTACTTCCTTATTTATGCAGTTCTTACTCTGTGGCCTCTAAGCTCTTGTATCTGTGACACAGTCACACAGATCTTTGGGTTTTGTGTGCTGCCCAAGGACAGCCTGGATGAGCTGGGGATCACACCACCAGTGTTCAGATCAGTAGATGAGCCACTCGATCTTCTGAAGAATAGTCGTAATCATTGAAACTGACTAATGAAGCAGCTGTAAGTGTCAGCGTTTCCCTTCTGACCAAACAGAGTCCCACTGACCTCAAATCACTTTTATATCAGTCACACATTTTGCCACCGCGTGTCACTGCTGTTGGTCACGTCTGTGGAGACGAGCACACGGAATCGCTCATGAGTCATGCATGAGCAGCCAGCCAATACTCATCCATGCCGCCACCAGTAGCATCGAGTGGCTCGAGTCGGAGGGGTGCTGTTGGCCTGTGAGCAGAGGAGAGGTGGGCTATGTCTGCGAGTAACTGTGTGTGGACAGGTATGAACATCTTTGTGGGGACCAAAAATTGGAGGCTTACTATACTCGTGGGGACCAAAATCCCCCACGAGTCTGAAGGCGTTTCTGAGACTCAAAATGTGGTTTTACTCGTTCTAGTGTCAGGGTTACATTAGGTTATGGTCAGGGTCAGGCATTCATCTTTGATGGTTGCATTATGTCCATGAGATGTCCCCACAAGGATGTGTGTGTGTGTGTGTGTGCGTGTGTGTGTGTGTGTGGCTACCATAGAAGGCTACTGTGTCCCTAGGCAACATGTATGTAGGCCAATGTCTGTGTGGCACTCAGCTGAAAGGGGATAGAGGCCTCCATTGTGCTCACACATGCATGTGGCCTGTTTACGCTCAGGTTTGTATGAGAGTGGAGCTGCAGCCTAATTTTGGATCCTCTGCTGTCACTTCCTCAGGGCTGTGGGTAAGACCTGTCTGCTGATTAGTTACACCACCAATGCCTTCCCCGGTGAATACATCCCCACTGTGTGAGTAACCCGAACACTCCTCATGCTCTCACAATACCACCATGTAACGCTGTAGGGCTGAGCGCTCTGTCAAAGACACTGTGCTGTCTAAAGGTTTCACACAAAGGATTTAATAATAATTATAATAATAATACAGCTGTTCTCCTGCAAGAACTTAGTTGACAAGAAAGAGAACACAGAAAAGAGACGAATGAATGTCAAATGAAATCAGATAAAATAAAAGATATCGCTCATTCAGCGAGCTGTGAATGTGCTGCAAACTCCTGCACAGTTCTGTACACCGAGAAACTATCCATGCTTATCGATGGATGATATTTGTAGTATTTATATATTTAATATTGCAAATCAAACAGACTGATGTTATGTATACTCCTTAATGTTTTTTAACTTTTCAAATTTTAAGCTGTTAAGATATTTCAGTGTTTATCAGCTACGTCGTGACACAAATGTTACACTTTTAAACCAGCATAACAAAATAATCATGACAACTGTGCCAAGCCCAGAAAGTTCCCTTAAATCCTGTTTTTCAAATATCTGCATCTCACCTCAGTCGTGTTAAACCAACTGGCAGGTGGCTCTTTAATATGAGCAGCATATATCCCATAGGTTGGAAACCAGTTCATATCAAATTAGAGTTAGTAGAGTAATTCAGTTTCAAAGTGCTGGACCCATCCGCAGCAGAAGAACCTGATACCTGAGAGCCCAGTGAGCACTGGGCTGAATGAGGAACTCCCAGTTCAGCTCCGGACTGGACTGTTTGC